CTCCCAGCGCTGCACTCTCCCGAGTGCACCATGGGCTCGGCCCCACAGCCACGTTCTTAAACAACACCAACTCCTTCAGGGACACAGTACCCAACTCCAGAATCTGAGGAGCAGCATGGGGGTAGCTGCAGCATCTGAAATTTCCAGGCAAAAACTCTAACTTTTTCTAACAGTGAGACACTGGCTTTCATTACTACAGTATATTATTTATTTATAATATATTTATTTTCTATAATATCTGTTGTACATATAAAGTAGTTTCAGAATTGCTACCCCAGTAATAAATAAATTTACCAACTAGATTACAGTGTTTGTGTATAATTCTTTTTGTCTTTAGCCTAATGGTATGCAGTTAAAATGCTGTTACTTAAATCAGTACCTTTCTTTCCCACCCTTTTTAGTATGTTTATGTCCTTTATTTGTAACAGTTTGATTTCTGTCACAGTCTGTAATCTGTGTTGGGTTTCCCCCACTTCCTGGTTGACTTTTAAAAATTTACATGTAGTGCAATTTGTTCTTTGTTATGCACAGTTCTGTGGGTTTTGAGAGATGTGCAGTCATGTATTTATCACCACAGTAGCAAACAGAACAGTTCTGTAACCCCCAAAAGTCATTGTGCTGTCCCTTTATAGTCACGTCATCATCCCCTAACCCCCTGGCTACTGTTGATCTGTTTTTTGTCCCTATAATTTTGCCTTTACCACAGTGTCATATAAATGGAATTATACAGTGTATGATCTTTTGAAATTGGCTTCTTTCACTTAATGTAATGCATTTGAAAGTCACTCACATTGTTGCATGTCTGAATAGTTTGTCCCTTTTTATTTCGCTGTATGGATATACTGCCATTTCTTTATTCTTTCACCTGCTGAAGGACATCCAGGTTGTTTCTGGTGTTTGGTGATTATGAGGTAATGCAGATTTTCTCCTGTGTTTTCTTCTAGAAATTTCTTTGTTTAATTTTCTTTTTACCTTTGACAAAAATAGGTTGATTATTTTGTGTGGGGTTTTTCTGAGCTCTCTATTCTGTTGCATTGATCTATATATCTGTTTTTTCACCAATGCCACATTGTCTTGATTATTGTTGCTTTATAGTTATGTCTTGAAATTGGGTAGTTTAAGTTCTACTAGGTTGTTCTTTTTTCAAAATTATTTTGGCTATTCTAGTTCCTTTGCCTTTTCCTGATTTAAAAAATAAAACCATCAATATCTACAAACAATTTTGCTGGGATGTGATTAGGATTATGTTTCTATAGACCAAATTGAGAGAAATGAAACCTTACAATCTGTGGATATGGTGTATCTCTCCCTTTATCATCTTTGATTTCTTTTATCAGTGTTTTGTTGTTATCTAGCACAGATTTTGTTAAATTTATCTCTAAGTTTTTTCTTTTTCTTGGTGCTGTTATAAATAGTATTGCTTTTTAAATTTCAAAATTCAGTTGCTTATTGCTATCATAGAAAGGTTGCTGATATTTTTATATTGACTTTATATCCTGTTATCCTTGCTAAACTTATCTACTAGCTCTAGAAGCTTTTTTGTAGATTTTTTGGAACTTACTTTTTTTTTTTTTTTAGCAGCTGGCTGGTTCAGGGAGCTGAACCCTTGACCTTGGTTTTATAGCATCATGCTCTAATTAACTGAGCTAACCGGCCAGGATGGAACTTTCTATATGGACAGTTATGTCATCTGTGAATAGAGACAGTTTTATTTCTTCATTTTCAGTGTGTTTTCCTTTTATTCCTGTTTCTTGACTTTTTGCAGTGGAAATACTTCTGGTATGACATTGCTGAAAAGACATCCTTGCCTTGTTCATGATCTTATGGGGAAAGCATTTGGTCTTTCATCATTAAGTATGATATTAGTTATAGGTTTTTTTATAGGTGCCCTTTATCAGATTGAGGAATTTCCCTTTTGTATTAGTTCTCCAGAGTTGCCAAAACAAATTACCACAAACTTGGTGGCTTAAAGCGACAGAAATTCATTCTTTTATAGTTATGGAAATCATGGTGTAGCTGAGCCAGATTTCCTCCGAAGTTTCTAGAGGAGAATCCTTCCTTGCCTTTTCCAGCTTCCGGTGGCTCCAGGCATTCCTTTCCTGTGATAGTATAACTCCAGTCTCTTTACATGACCCTTCCTTTTGTGTCTCTGGTCCTTTTCCATCTCTTATAAGGACACTCTTACTGGATTTAGGGGACCTCCTTCCAATCTAGTATGATCTCATCTGGATTCTTACCTTAATTACATTGGCAAAGACCTATTTTAAAATAAGATCACATTCTAATGTTCCACATGAACATGAATTATGCTGGGACACTGTTCAACCCAGTATACTTTCTATTCCTAACCTGGTGAGGATTTTTTAAAAATCATAAATGGATGTTGAATATTTTTAAAGGCTCTTTTTGCATCTACTGAGATACTATTATGGCTTTTCTTGGTTGATTTTTTTTTTTTTTCCTTTTTTGTCTTTTTTACTGACCGGTAACCGGATCGCAACCCTCGGTGTCGCGTCCGCACCGCGCTCAGCCAGTGAGCGGGAACCGGTCTCCACATGGGATCCGAACCCTCGGCGGGAGCGCCACTGCGCTCCCAAGCGGTGCACTCTCCAGTGTGCCACCGGGCCGGCCCGACTTTGTTTTGTTTTTTTGGTGGTTGGCCAGTAATAAATACAGTAGTTGATTTTATTTTTTTTTTTTTTTTTGTCTTTTGTCTTATTTTTCCGTGTCCGGCAACGGATTGCAACCCTCAGTGTTGCCCCCGTACCGGACCAGGGACCGGCAACGGGATTGCAAACCTCGGTGTTGCTCCCACGCCTCGCTCAGCCAGTGAGCGGGAGCCGGTCTGTATGTGGGATCCGAACCCTCGGGCGGCAGCGCTGCCGCGCCTCCTAAGCGGCGCACTATCCAGTGCGCCACTGGGCCGGCCCCAGTAGTTGATTTTTAAATGTTGAACTGGGTTTGCATTCCTAGGATACATACCACTTGGTTATATATATTACTCTTTTTTGTATATTGCCAGATTTGATTTGTTAATATTTTTTGGAGGATTTTTTGCATTTATCAATGAAGGATATTAGTCTATTAGTAGTTTTATTTTTTGTGATGTCTTTGGTTCTGATATTAATAGTAATACTGGCTTCATAACACAATTGAGAAGTATTCCTTCATTGTATGGAACTGAAACTTCTTCCTTAACTATTTTGTAGAATTTAGCCTTCAGTTTTCTTTGTTGGAAGGTTTTAACTACATATTCAATTTCTTTGATATGTAACTACTCATGTTATCTTTTTTTTCCTGAGTTAGTTTTGATAGTTTGTGTCTTTCAAGGGATTTGGTTCATTTCATCTAGGTTTTTGGATTTATAGACATAGACTTGTTCATAGTAATCCTTTTTTTTTTTTTTTTTAATCCTTTTTACATCTGTGAGGTGTGTACTAATGATCTCTCTTTTCTGATATTGGTAATTTGTGTCATCCCCCCCTTTTTTTTTTCTCGTTGATTAAACTGGCTAGAAGTTTGTTAGTTTTATTGATTTGTTTTATGTTTCACTGATTTCTGCTTTAACCTCTATTACTTTTTATCTCCTGCTTGGTTTGGGTTGAATTTGCTCTTTTTCTAGTTTCTTAAATTGAAAGCTTAGGTTACTGATTTGATACCTTCTTTTCTTACTATAAGCATTTGATGATATAAATTTCTCTCTAAAGTTAAAGCTGCATCCCAAAGTTTAAGACTTGTTCTTTACTGGGGATAAAGAAGGGTATTGGTGCAGTTTCATGCCCCTCCACAGAAGCTGCTGTGTCCCTCTCCCAGTTCTGTAACATTAGGGAGCCCTACTTAGGACTCTGGCAATCTTTTCTGTGAGTGCCTGCTATGATTTGTGAATATAAAACCCGGAAAAAGTTGTGGATTACCCCTATATATGCAGCATCTCTGCCCCTGGAGGAGGCATTATCCTCTCTCAACAGTGCACACTCAGTCTCCATCAGTTTGCCAACCATGCTAGCCAACCTCTTCTTACTGATGTACTGCTGTATCTTGTCCCTGTAAGCCAATGCTGATGTCTTATCTCTCCCAGCAATTACCCGTGTCTCCTTAGTTTTGGTGCCCTCTGATCTCAGCATTCTGATTGGTTTAAGAAAAGTTGAGAACTTGCCTTTTGTCTGGCTTTATCTTATTGTAAGTGGAAGTTGGAAGTGATGCTCTTTTCAACTCTCTACATCCCAAGCTAAGTTCATTTTAGAGTTCTTCTGCATTTTGGGTGATCAATAGTCTCTATCCCCAAGAGAAAGTTAATCACCTCTTGCTCTTTTGTTAGTTCTTAGTACTTTGTATAACTGTATTTATCACGTCATACTGTAATTATTTGCCAATATATCTGTCTTCACCATTAGTTAGCGTACTGCTTGAGGGAATCAAGATCTGTGACCTCTGTATACCCAGTGCTTCCTGATCATCGTAGGCACTCAAATATGCTTGTGAAATAGAATTACAATAAGATTTTAATTTATAGCACAGTCCTAGTATTTTGTAAGATTCCGAGTAAATATTTGTTGAATAATTCATGAATGAAATAGCTTATTTAGATGGTATTTAGAAATTGAGTTAACTTCTGTTTGCTCAAATTTCCACATAGTTTAAGAGAATTTGGCCTAATTTAAAAGTCTAATTTAATCATTTTCTGTAATTAAAAATCTTGCTATGATTCAGACAGAAGATTCAGTTGCATGAATTAACCATTAGTTCCTCAAAAATATTAATGGGGTTGAATTATTATGTGCACCCATTGACTTTTTGGGTAATATTATTTACCTGAGAACCTCAGAGCAGTGGATAATAAATTATTAAAAAGTTTTTAAAAATCAAAATGGGGTAGCTGTCATTGAAAGAGAGAAATTATTTTCTCTTGGTAGTATTTGGAAATAGATTAAGTTTAGTTCTTATGTCTTTAAGTAAACAAATAAAGAGACTTTTTTCAATCTAACTGCATCTTTTTCCAGATCAGATTTTCATCAGTAGCTAAAAAATTGTTTGTGGTAACTGCAGTGAGTACTGTATCTATAATTTTTCTGGCCCATCACTTTAAAAGACGACGTGGAAAGAAGAAAGGAAAAATATTGCCGTGGGAACCAGAGCACCTCATACTTGAATACACTAAAAGAGCAGTATCAGACAAAGGTATGTAGAAATAGCTGAATTAAGTCTGCAAAATAAATTTTAGGTATAAATCATAATTGGAATGCAGTGATTTTAGTGTTTTAGTTTCCAAAATTTTCTTCCTTAATATTTAACTCCCAAGTAGTACAGATTCATTTTAGAAAGATCAGAAAATACAGATAAGCAAATAGAAAAAATTAAAATCACTTGAAATTCTACCACCCAGAAATAACTACTGATAATATGTACTGTGCTATTTTATGTAAGAGACTTGGTATATAAAGGATTTTGGTATCCACGGGGGAGGGGGAACGCAGACAGGGGATCCTGTAACCAGTCCTCCAAAGGACAGATGTACTTTGGTGTATTTCTGTGCATTTATATTTGCATTTAAACATCATATTGAGACATAAAACTTTATATGCAAGTAAATTATTTATATTTTTAAAGTAAAATTGTGATTATATGTTTTGAAACCTGCTTTTAAAATATTTGACAGTATGTGTATGTCTTCCCAGGTCAATAAGTATATCTCCATGTTATCATTTTTAATGTGTAATTGGTGTTAAATTTGTACAAATGTACCCCAATTTATTTAATTATTTCCCTATTTTTCCCTTTAGGATGTTTGTATTTTTCTTGGCTTACATATATTTGTCTATTTCCTTATATATAAAGTTCTAGAAGTAGAATTGCTAGTCTTAAAGGATCTTTAATTTTTATTAGAGATATGGTACATATTGCCAAATTGTATCAATAAAAATAATTTCTTTTTTTTAAAAAGATGACCGGTAAGGGGATCTCAACCCTTGACTTGGTGTTGTCAGCACCACGCCCAGCCAGTGAGACAACCGGCCATCCCTATATAGGATCCGAACCCGTGGCCTTGGTGTTATCAGCACCGCACTGTACCGAGTGAGCCATGGGCCGGCCCAATAAAAATAATTTCTTAAGCATACTGAATTCCTTAGTTTTTATTATTTAGTGTATGGTATACCTTTGTGATTCATTTGTCCAGCAGATAATTAATGAGTGACTGTTTTGTGCCAAGTGCAGTCAACATTACAACAGTAATGATTGCTGTTACTCAGTGAGGTTTTATTAGGTCCCACCTAAGTGCTACGTATCCAATGCTTTATTAACCTTTAAAGCAATCCTTTGAATTAGGACTGTAATTCTGTGTTATTGTTCCCATTTTGTACATAAATAAACTGAGATATGGAAAAGTTAAGTGACTTGCCCATGGTCATTTAACTTAGGAGTGTCAAGATTTGAATCCAGAAATATCTTAACTGCTGCATTATGAAAAACCAAGACATGATATCTGCCCAAAAGAATGGATAGAGGGGTAGAGGAGACCAGGAGCGAAAAAAACTAATTCCAATATAATGTGATGTGGATAACATTTAGATGTAATTCAGGAAAGGAAGTGCTTATATTTTGTTAAATTTACAATTTGAAGGTCCATAGTTGCCGGTGTTTTTATACTGATTACAATAGATCATTCAAATACCACCCTAATTAGTTATGTAAATATTTTACTCTTGATTTCAGAAGCAGATTTTAGCAGTATTAAAAACATAGAGATGTAGATTTTAATGATGGTGTACGTTAAATAATTTATACGTTGAATGTAGTGTGTTTTAAAATCAGAAGCTTTCTGAATGAATATAATATAAACTTTGAAATTTTACCTGAAATTTATCATTGGAATTATTGATACATTTAATATTAGTATGTTTGTTTGATAGGTTCAAGTTGTTCCAGTAGTAGACAGAATTTGACATTATCTTTAAGTTCTACCAAAGACAAAGGATCTCAGTCTTGTAACTATGTTAATGGAGGACTTTTCAGTAAATACTCGGGTTCTGCACAGAGTTTGGCTTCCGTAAGTAAAGAAAAAAATTATCATTTTTCTTATGTTTGTTTATCTTGTTATCTATTAGTTTAAGTGTTATACTAAACACTTTTAGCTCTTAGTATGAAAAGAACCTTAAGGAATCATCTTGTTGAGTCTGCTTTCTTCAGGCAAGTAAAAGTATCTTTTTGCTAATTATTCAGCCAGTTTGGTTCCTGGTTTCTTTGAGTAAGTGATGTGGTCCCAGGAGGTCCTATGAGAATGTGTCGATGAGGAAGTGTTGCTTCAAAATTAGAAATTCTGGAAGAAGCTAGATGATGCAGCTGGACTTTGTGCTAGGTCACAAAAGTCATTTGGTGAGCCTGCTTAGGTAGAAGTGTTTGGCTTGCTGAAGCCAAGTCTGAGGTTCCTCACCTCCTTCTTTGGAGCATTAATATAGTATTGACTAACAAGCAGGAGACCTCCCTTCTTCTTTGAAGCATTAATATAATTTTGATTGAGAGCTGAGGAACAAAATTAGTATTTGTTTAAAAATAATGTAGTTTGAACATTAATTTTAAAAAATAGGTATGATATGCCCTTGCTACTAAATATAGAAGAGGCAAAAGAATGTACAGTGAAAAAATGAGTTCCTGATCCACTCAATTCCCCTCCTTGGAGATGAACAGCATTGACAATTTTTTATGTATTTTCCAGGGAGTGTGTGCCTCTACCATTATGTATATTCACTTTTTCTTAATAGTTTGTCGAACACCATATTCTGTTCCACACCTTGCTTCTATATATCACTGGAATATAGAGCTGGCCCATTCTGTAATGCCTAAAAATATACTAAATTCTTAAAGACTCTTCTAGGGTAGGGACATCTAGATGAAAGATCTACAGACTTTCAGTTCTTCTGTGAAACTGAGCAGGATAATGAAGAATATGCCTATTACATAATCTCGTCTTCCATAGTGTCAGAGAAGTGCCTCTTTTTTCAATTTTCTCATCTGAAAGTTGAAGCTGTTCTTCTTGAGTGGAAGTCTTCAGAATCACTACATTGTACTCACCTCAGCCAACCTAGTCATTCTTTGCTGGGGCTGAGATTTCTGCCTCTTAAGTACATAATGAGTGCCTAAATTAGGGTGATGACAACAGGAGTGGAGAGGAGGGGCCAGAGACTACAAAACTTGGTGACTGGGTATGAGTGGTGTGGGAAGAGATATCAAAGATGACTTCCTGTTTTCTTGTTTGAGAAATTATGGGAATGGAAGAACTATTAGTGAACTTAGGAGTTTTTGTTGTGGGAAGATCTTGAGTTCCTTTTTTGATATAGTCAGTTTGAAATGCCAGCAGAACAGCCAAATAGAGTCACCTAATACATGAGAATGTGTGCCTAGTTTCTCAAAAGAGTACAGAATTGGAGTTAGGGATTTGGGAGTCATTTGCATAGAGATAATTGAAATATTGGCTCAGTGGACCTTGCTAGGGAAGGGCACATACAGAGATGATAGAGGGTTTTCAGTTGAAGTTATCATTTAGCAGAAAGTCAGTATTGTAAAAAAATTCTAAAAGGAAAGAAAGCTACCTTCCTTAAATCAAAGTAGGGTAGATAAGATTTGTAAGTACATGCTTAAAACAGTAAACAATATAAAAATAATTGCCATATTTTTGATGGAGATAACTGATTTATGTTCAAAATTTTGTTCTACTTGTGGTTTTTTTGTTTGTTTGTTTGTTTTGGCAACTGGCCAGTGTGGGATCTACTTGTGTATTTTTGAGGAAACAGGCTCAGAGTATTTAGGGTCATATGACTCTTAAGTTTCAGTGAATATAATCAGATTTATTTCTTCAGGTAGAAATTACATAGATGGTTTTACCAGGATTAGGATTTATATAAATAATTTATAAATACAAAAGATTACAACATACTATCATAGGAGAGATTTTGAAGTAACTTCTGTCAATCTTCATTTTAGGTCCAGAGTGTCAATTCTTGTCATAGCTGTGCTTGTGGCAATTCTAACCCCTGGGACAAAGCAGATGAAGATGACATTAAACTTGTTAATATTCCTGTGACCACTCCTGAGAACTTATACTTAATGGGTAGGAATAACATGATGAAGTTTTAAGATATTGTGCTCACATTTTATTTGAAACTAAAAAACAGTGAATTGTTCTGAGAGAAGTGACAATAATTTTTAAATGTTCATATATCTGTTGAATCTAGTCTATATAACATAACCCCTTGTATTAGTTTCCTGAAGTTGTTGTAATAAATTACAACAAACTTGGTGGCTTATAACAACAAATTTATTCACTCAGAGTTCTGGAGGCCAGAAGCCTGATATCATTATCACTAGGCTGAAATCAGGGTGTCAGTAGAGCCATGCTTCCTCTGCAAGTCAAGGGAGAATCTGTTCCTTGCCTCTTCCAGCTTTTGGTGGCTATCGGCATCCCTTGTTTTGTGGCCATATCACTCTACTCCCTGCTTTTGTCTTCATATCACATTCTCCTCTATGTGTATCAAATTTCCCTGTACCTCTCTTTTATAAGGACCCTTGGGATTGGATTTAGGGCTCATCAGATAATCCAGGATAATCTCCCCATGATAGAATCCATAACTTAATCACTCTTAATCACTCAGAGTAATCTACCTTACTCTGTTAAGGTAACATTTAGTTTCTAGGAATTTAGGACCTGTTATCTTTGGGTGGCCATTATTTAGCTTACTATACTAATCTAAGCTAATCTGTTGACCCTTATCTGATGAATCTGTTAGAATCCACTTTACTTAATCTGGTTTTATTTAGCTATAATTTGTATTTTCCTTATATCCAGAACAAATTTTAAACAGAAAGAAGGCCATCTGTGTTTCATATGTCAGTATTTCTCTTGGCTTGACCATGAGCATGCCTAGGAAATCTCACTGGAGCCCTGGAGAAGAATCAAATGAACCTAATACTAAATCAGACGGTTCAAATGCTTTTGCCTATTCTTCTCTGTTCTGTTTTAAGCTATATTTTATATTATATTTCTTATAATGGAAATGAGAGCTAAATAAAAAAATACAACCAAAAAACCTTGATGTGACCCTGGCCAGTGAGAAACGGGTTGATGACGTGGTGGAAGGACTCTGTGTTTCTGAATGCATTCCCACACTCTAGAATAGTTAATCTATTTAATCTCCAGTGGTGTCACAGTACGTACTCCTTCTGTGGGGAATGAAGGAAGAGTAGTTCATTTTTGTAAGTCTCTAGAGAATTATACGTGGTGGAAGGACTCTGTGTTTCTGAATGCATTCCCACACTCTAGAATAGTTAATGTATTTAATCTCCAGTGGTGTCACAGTAGGTACTCCTTCTGTGGGGAATGAAGGAAGAGTAGTTCATTTTTGTAAGTCTCTAGAGAATTATGCTCACTGTGTTTCTAGATTACTCTATGTCCAATAAACCTAAACTCACAGCTTCTATTAGAATACTAAGAATTCTAGTTAAAGAGAAATAGAGGAAAACTAGGGAAGCTCAGGAGGTCTCTGTGTCATAGAATTGATTGGTAGGAGCCCTATGGATCACGTAGTCTAATTACCCATCTATTGTTTCAGTTTCCTTTATAAAATTCATGGCATTGAAAAAGGATTGGAGACATATGTTTGACTTCCTTTTACAAAACTGATATGTGGTAGTCTGGACCATGTTCTATATGGAAGTGGGGCATGGTACTTCCGGAGGAGGTGACGTTTATCTTTGGACAACTCTGCTGTTAGATAATTCTGTGTTCAGCCAAAATAACCAGATGGAGAGCAAATAGTATAAGAAAAGGATAAAGTAATTAAAGTTGTATAACTTGGAGAAAGGAGGATAGATAGTGACATAATTGTGTATAAATTTTTTATTTTTATTTATTATTATTATTATTATTATTATTTTTTAAAAAGATGACCGGTAAGGGGATCTTAACCCTTGACTTGGTGTTGTCAGCACCACGCTCACCCAGTGAGCAAACCGGCCATCCCTATATGGGATCCGAACCTGTGGCCTTGGTGTTATCAGCACCGCACTCTCCCAAGTGAGCCACAGGCCGGCCTGTATAAATTTTTTAAAAGAAAGATCAAAAAGCTATCCTGACCAGCTGGTTAGCTCAATTGGGAGAGCATGGTACTGCTAGGACCAAGGTTACAAGTTCGGATCCCTGTACCAGCCAGCTGCCAGAAAACAAACAAACAAACAAACGTGTGTGAACAAAAAGCCATCCTTTGCTACAAAAAACTAAACAAGAAGGAAAGGCCTGCATTGCATTTAAAAACATTTTATTTGTTTAGAGTTGTAGGTTCTACAGATAATTGAAGAAGTGACTTTAGAGGAGAGCTGTTCTTTACTTACACTATCTTAAAAACATCTGAGAATGACTTGCTTGGATTCTTAAGCAGCTTCCAAAGATCTTTTTCTTTTATATGTGTAGAAAAGTCAAACTTATAAAATATTTTGGTTTTGTTTGAAGTGAATAATTATTTTGATAAGCCTTTTTTTTTTTTTTTTTTAAATTTGGAGAAAAAGAGGCACACATTCACCTTTTTCCCCCACAAAAGTTTTCTTTCGGCAAGGATATGAAGTTCCTACTTGGACTGTAACTAACTCTTTATGGGTTCATTCAATATCTTTTAGATTTTTAACTCTGGCCCACCAATTTGTACATCCAAATTAGCAAATTGAGATCATAGTGGTTTAGGATACCCAATGGGGGAAAAGAGATGGAAAAGACTTCATTTTGGACTACTAGGCTATTATCTTTCATCTCAGTTTCACTGCCTGCTCCTGAGAACTTATAAACCTGATAGCTTCCTGAAAACTAGTTTCTTCTATTTATTTATCAGTTTTCTTTTTAATTTAGGGGGACATGTTGAAACATATTTGCATGACTATAAAAATTAAACATAACTGTTAAATTTTTGATGAATTTGTTATATTGTTCTGGAAGAATTCTAAGCACCATATACATTTGAGTTACATTTTTAAAAAATGAAAACATATTGGCTATTTTCCCTCTGATTTTTGGTTGGCTAGAACTGTAGGCCCAGAATATATTGAGAAATCAATCATTTCATTATTCATTAATTAATCAGTGTGTCTTATTGATCATTTAGATTATACTCTGAAGTGATGTGAGTATAAAATTATTCTTTAGTACCAAAATTACAGTCAAACTGTGCCACTGGTGATAATTGTATGAAAACATTTCAGATCCCAATTAATTTTATTTTGGCTTTGTTTTTACTCATTTACAATTGTTCTGTTCTTAATTTTCAGGTATGGAATTGTTTGAAGAGGCATTGCGTCGATGGGAACAAGCTCTAACCTTTCGCAATAGACAGGCTGAAGATGAGGCCTGCAGTTCCATTAAACTGGGTGCAGGAGATGCCATTGCTGAAGAAAGTGTAGATGTAAGGGTAATTTTTTTGATAGTGGTCTTCATAATATTGGAAGAATCAAACTATTTAATGTTGATTCAGTGTACTTTCTGTGGCATTAAATAGAACTGTTTGTTTTCTTCTTTGGGACTATGTTGGGTGTTTTATATTGGGGTTTTTCTGTTCAGTTAGTTGTTAAATATTAGGTTTGCCATTTATGATCAAGTTTCCTGACTTTCCTAGGAAATGTAAAGGAACTTTTGAAAGTCTGTTTTTCCTTCGGTATAATTAAGTGCCATTATGTTAATAAGAATCACATAGAGGTAGAGCTGGACTGGTCCTTATTGGTCATTTAGAAAGGCTAGTGGTTCTCAAACTTGAGCATGCTTCAGAATTTCCTGGAGGGCTTATTAAAACAGATTTAGGGACTCCACCCCGAGGGTTTGTAATTCAGTAGGATTGAGGTAGATCCGAACAATTTGCATTTTTAACAAGTTGATAAGTTTAACAAGTGATAATAAAACAAGTTTAACAGGTGATAATGATGCTGTTGGTTCAGGGACCTTACTTTGAGAACCCCTTACATAGTCTAATTCCTTAATTTTATACTTACAGAAACTGAATTCTTGAGAACTTAGATGATTTTGCCAAAGACAAGGCTAGAACGCAGGCCTCCTGACTTCTACTATAGTGCTCTGTCCACTACCTAACTGTAGTTTTTTATAGCCCTCACTTTTCCTGACTTTTATTTAAAAGTGGAAAATGTTTAGATTTTTTTTTTTTCCCTTTTTGTCTTTTTTTTCATGACCGGCAACAGATCGCAACCCTCAGTGTCGTGCCAGTACTGGACTGGGACCGGCAACGGGATCGCAACCCTCGGTGTTGCGCCCGCACCTTGCTCAGCCAGTGAGCGGCCGGTCTGTACGTGAGATCCGAACCCTCGTCGGTAGCGCCGCCGCGCTCCCAAGCGGCGCACTGCAGCAGTGCGCCACCGGGCCGGCCCGAAAATGTTTAGAATTTTAATATTTGAGTCTAATATTTGCCGTGTGTACTTTTTTCCTCCTTGTAGGATATTATTAGTACTGAATTTATCCATAAACTTGAAGCTTTGCTGCAAAGAGCATATCGTCTACAAGAGGAGTTTGAAGCCACCCTTGGGGCATCTGATCTTAACTCCCTTCCTAATGATATTGGTAAGATGGATATTTTATATGGTTTTTATGAAATGTATGATTTTCTTCTTTTATATTCTTGGAATCATTTGCTTAAGTGTCTCATATATTAATAGTTTACATATTTTTTTATAAAATAGCCAAGAGAAAAAAAAATTGTATCATTTTTTTTTCTTCCAGTTTTATTTTTCAGGTGAACTAACTGCCCTTAAAACTAAACTGCCCATTCTGGCCTCAGACTTGGAAGTCCTTGAAAACGAGGATATTTCAGTGGTCAGTGTCAGTGGGGGGTGGGAGGAGAGAGCAAAAGGAGATCCTCAGAGAGCTCTTTGCCATGAGTCTAGCGCTAGCTGTTACATTTAGGCAAAACTTTAGAGTCTTCTTTCCCTTTTATGACAGATTTTGTTAAAAGTACAAAATGGTTTAATTTTCTATTCTGTCAACTTTTTTTTTTTTTTTTTAATTTTTATTTTGTCAATATACAATGTATATGATTATTATGGCCCTTCACCGACACCTCCCGCCCTCCTCCCTCTCTCCCCTCCCCCCCAAGAATGTCCTTTCCGTTTGC